AATTGTGACCTCAGTTCCTGACCTCAGACTCAGTGAAAACGAGGCGAGAAACATTTGAGTAGCACTAAATAAGATCTTGATGAGATATCTCTAGACATAGTCAACGGAACGGGTACAATTTTACATCGGAGATGAAACAAGTATCCATCTCTATTTTTTAGCAGTATATCATGATGAAAAAGGCCCCGAACTTGATGAAAACAAAATTTTAATTTTTAAATGTTTATATTATTATTAAGAGAAAAGACGAAATTATTTTTTTATTATTTAATTAAGTTTTTTTAATCCTCTCTAGCACGTTCGAAATTTTCGTTAAAAAATCTTGTTTTTCTAGCGTCAACGTTGGACAAATATCTGTTTGTGAACTTAAAGGTCTTTTTTGTGGTAAAAACACATTGTTTTGGAAATTCATGCAAAAAATAAATTAATTGCCGGATTTTAATGAAATTGTCTGCCTGTATTCATAAATACGTAAAATTATTTTGTGAATTTTTTTAGAAAATCTTGCTAAAAATAATTTTTTTTACATCTGTTACCCCAATTTAATTTTATGAAATTTCGATAAATTAAATTTTGTTCCGTTTATATTAGTTAAAAGCAAGACTCCTTGGCGAATGTAAATTATCCAATTTCTTTTCAAACAGATTCTCATTTACCTAAAATCTGTTCCGAATTGTAAAATGAAAAAGTTCAATAAAACTATGACATTACTTAATTAGAAAAAAAATTTATTCCTTTTATAAATAAAATATATCCCGGACAATATTATCTTAACAAAAAAATCGATGAATAATTAATTGGTACAAGAACTTTTTTCATTTTTTTCATTTTAATTATAATAAATTATGTTTTAAATTTTTTTATTAATTTAAAACCTTTCCGATTATATTAGTATCAAGTGGAAGCTATATTTACTAATCCTAAATGGAAAAACTTAATACAAATCATCAAACGTCAAGAGTTTTAAAAGAATTTTGAATTTTATTTTATGCGTATAGGGGCGACCATACACGGCATTATCAGAAAATAAGAGCGATAACTAAAGAAAATTTAAAGTCCACATTCCTAAAACTATATTACGATGAGTATTTTCCAAAATATTAAAGATTATTGAGTACTTAATATATATATATATATATATATATATATATATATATATATAAAGGAAATGACGTCATTTTCTAAAATTATTTTTTTTACAGATAAAGTCTCCCTAGAACAACCAATCTGTCATTACATTGATATCACTCGTCAAGCATGTAAACATGTCTACTGGTGGCTAAAAACACAGCTACTTTTGGTTTAACCCTAGAATACTAACCATCAATTAAAGTTACATCACTACTAACCATGGGTATATCATACCCGATTTTGAAAATATCAAAAAAATATTAAATATAAATCGTTATTTGAAATATTTTACATGCAGGCACTTCAAACTTTGTACTTTGAGTTAACATTAATCGATTATATTATTATTAAATGAGAATTATATTTCCTAATCATAAACAGTAAAGCTTAATACCACTCTTCAAGTTCCAAGAATTTTGACTTCGTTTCTGTTACACTTTTTTTGTATATATACATGTAACTAGTGAGTTAGTCAAAATGACTTAACTCCCTATAGTCTACAAATAGAAGGTTAACCAATCAGAAGCCGCAGAACACTGTATCCGTCGTGTATAAAGGCGGCCATTTTTGTTTACCTACCCGAATGACCAGTGCCAACTTGTCAGGCGAAAATGACAGAATGAAGTACTAGGCTCTGCTACTTTTCTGCGATATCCACTGCTAACCTGAAGTACGCTTTCCTACTGTCTCCGAAATTTTCACTGCTAACCTCTGGATTCTATACTCGAAGACGACCGTCAAAATGTCTAACAGTTTTCATGTATATAAATGTGCAAGTTTTTTTTTAAAGTATAGGCGACCATACACGATATTATCAGAAAATAAATTTAAAGTCAACATTCCTAAAATTAGAGAATATTTTCCAAAATATTAAAAATTACTGAGTATTTAAAAATTATATAAACATATTATTTTCTTAAATTATGATTTACAGATAAAGTCTCTAGAATAAAAAAAAACGACTGTCAACACGTCAAAAGAGATATTATTGGGTTAAAACCACAGCTACTGTAGGACTAAACATGAGTTCCTGCGCTATTTTAAACTTAATTAAAAATAAAATAAAGGTTTCAAGAAAAATTTTTCGTTTTTAAAAATTCATTTTAAAAATTAGATCTTTTTTTTTTCTGTTTTTCAGTTTGAAATAACCTGAAAAGCAGAAACTTTGTGGTAACAGTGGCAAAAAGAAGAACGATTGTGCACATAATTAAAGGAAATAACAAAGAAGAATAACAGATTTATAAAAAGGAGAAAAAATATTCCCTACTAAAAACAACAAGTATAGTTATTTGGAGAAAAACAGAAAATAAAAAAAAAGAAAGAATGGACGAACGAAAGAACGTTTTAAAGAGAAAAAAAAGTATCTCCAAGGGAAAAGGAGATGAAAGAGCTTAAATGAAGCAAAAAGGCATCAAAGACTAAAACCACAAAGAAAGAATGAAAGCGTAAAAGAAGGAAATAATAAAAATGGGAATGAAAGAAAGATGGAGAATATCCCTCGAGAAGATCTCGACTGCCGGACACTCGGAAATTTCAGACTCATTTTGTAAATCCTAAGCTGTTAATTTGACGGGACAATTCGAGTCAGATTAGCTAATTTCATGAGATGAGGCGATCGCTAAAGATGACGCCATTAAGTACATTGAGGGCGGTTCTCTCTTTTCTGATTGCTTTCCAATTCTTAATGTTCGTGCCGTCTGACACATCCTTTCTTTGGTTTTATTTTGAACTATTTGCTGTGTTCTTAATTTCTCTTTTATACTTACTTAGTTTATTACCGTACAAGGCTAAATAGGGAGAAAATCGGAATAGCAAGATTGTTTTACGCTTGTCCTTCAAGGTAGGCGTATCTCTTGGCCTTCAAGAACAGCATTCGAAAGCTAACTTTATATTTAAGTTCGCATGACTAACATTTGATCTCTTATGAAAAACGTAAATATTTCAACAATAGGGCAGGCTTTATCCCACTAAAACTTTGGTGACTATATTTGGTATATTAACACAGAAATCGATATACAAAAAAATAAAATAGTACCACAAATTCAGTATTCTATTAACTCTACGGCAAACATCGTTAGTCTTTTTACATCACTGATACAAATGGCGGTTGAGTCGTACTGTGTTTTACAAAACGAAAGCTTGTAAAAATTAAAAAGACCTTATACAACTGGAATTTATAAACGGGGATCATATCATTCATATACAGGTTCGGGGTTGGTGTATCTTATTTATATAGTTTACGACGAATATTCTCGCCATTTAAATCATTAACCTCTATATTTGTTTTTTTTTTATGAATGATTCATGAATTTATAAATTATATTTGCACTTTTTAATTGAAATTAAAATAACTGATTCAACGTGCAACTCTCGGATAATAAGTGTGACATTACTGTAATTATTGAACAATATAGTTCATGCCATATTCACGGAAAATCTACCAGTAAAAAAGAATTCTCTTATTGCTATATTTGTACAAAAACGCACAACCTTAAAATTTAAATTCAAACTTAGCGTTGCGACCGCACGTCCCAAAACAATAACACATTTCTCATAGCATTTTTTCGGATTGCATCTCTATTTTCGTTGTCCTCTTATTACTGGGAAGTAAAAACAAGAACAAAATCTACTTCCATACCTGATGATGTCTGTAGGAACAGACGAAAGCTTGTAAAAAATTAAAAAGACCTTATGCAACTGGAATTTATAAACAGGGATCATATCATTCATATACAGGTTCGGGGTTGATGTATCTTATTGATATTGTTTGCGACGATTTATTCTCGCCATTTAAATCATTAACCTCTATATTTGTTTTTTGTATGAATGATTCATGAATTTATATATATATATATATATAATTATTTTTTATAAAAAAATATTATAACATAAGTTTTAAGAATAGTAATTGTTGGTTATTGAATTCATTCCATATATATATATATATATATATATATATATATATATATATATATATATATATATATATATATATATATATATGATGCAATATACGTTACCGACCAGTGTGTGTTGTAGGTTGTTTTCTATACAGCGCATATAGAAATATATTATGGTGTCTCGATATACAGGTAAGTCGTGGGACCTTATGTAGTTTTGGGCCGAAGTTTTGGTCTACTGCTAGCCTACCGTATCTTTGGTGGTCGAATTAAACGGTAGGTAGATACGTAACTTATAAAATTTGAAATAAAATATTCGGCGGCGACTTATACGCCAGGTCGACTGTAATTCACGATAGATCGATCAGTAGACAGATAGGAAGAGGATTAGATAGATATGTAAAGGACTGTGTGAGGGTGTGTGTTGTTATTTTAGAAACACGTGCGTTTTATTTCCTGCTAGAAGAAGGCCCAACTACAAGACAGTGGCAGAGTCTTCTTGTGTCTAATCGAAGATGCAAATAAAACAAACCGATATATATATATATATATATATATATATATATATATATATATATATATATATATATATATATATATATATATATATATATATATCAACAAATATATGTATTAACACAATTTTACAATGTACATAGACAATAACATTTGCTTGTGTGTGAACATTTGTGTTTATTCTTTGGTGAATGTTCGTACGTGCGTGTGTGTGTGTATATTGTACATGGTGCCTTCCCAGAAGTGGAAAACGTTATCTTTTTGCGAGAGCTCACATTGTAGAGATGTTCACTGAAATGAAGAAATGAATAAGAGGATTCTCCTCACCTCCACGAGAGGTGGAATGCGGCACGAGGCCTGAAGGAAAGAGAACGAGGCAAGAAGTCGCCCAGTATTTATAGTGTAGGGAGAGCGACCCCTGGAGAAGAATTAGGAAATTAAGGAGGAGCTAACTCCGACAGATATACAGGTAGATAGGAACAGGATTACATTGATAGATAGATAGATAGATAGATAGATAGATAGATAGATAGATAATTATATAGCGAGCGAGTGTCGATGTTAAAATATCTTATATTTAACAAGAGGGAATTCGAATGTCTCTTTGTAAATACATTAATATATTCTCATCTCTGTTTAGCTTTCAATTATCTTTATTATGTGTTTAAAAACTTAAAATGATTTTTCTGTACCATATAATTATTTCAAATTATATCCGTTAAATTTGATTTTTTCTTCTTTCTTTAGCGAATCTAGTATTACAGTCACAATGAGCACCTTATAGATTTTATGTGATACTCACCAGAGTCAAACATCACTTTCTGAGAAACACTTTTCAGTAAAAATTGTAGGTCTGTCGAACAATCACGTAAACAAGATAACCACTCAGTTGTGGAGCAAGCTGAGAAGACTAATCAACATAGAACAGAGCTATTTATGGTGCAATGGAATCTATTATGCTAAAGTCCATTGCTTGGGCTCTGATTGGCTGCTGGTAAAGTGGAAGTATTACTATAAAATACTAGCATGATTTCTCAGTTTGCAGGATATTGTTCAACCTGCTTTATTTTTGTTCGCCAGCTGGATAGTTGGAATTCTTACGCCGGTACGTGCTTTTTATTATTGTTATTCATCTCCTTCCCCCATCGCGTGTGGGTAGTGGCCTTTGGGGAGGGATGAGTTCCTTTAAACCTGGCTGGTTGTGAAGTAGTCTGACAATGCCTGAGGGGTTTTGTCCGAGAATGAGCAGTGTTTGATGTTATTCCAGCGTCGACTGTTTGTTGCACTGGTGTAGGGTCTCAGGCACTAGGTCTTGAATTGAATTGTTGGTGTATCCAGTTTCCTGAGAAATCGGCGATTTCAAATTCTACCTGATCCGTCAAATACGGTATTGGTGGTTGGGGAGGATTTCAATGACCTGACCTGTTGTGTCCATCGACGGGTTGTTGGTCTTTGTAGTGCCACTATTTTGTCCTTTTTTGAAGGGGGTTTAAAGTGTGTGCTGTTCTGTTGTATCGCTCTATGAGACGAGCGTTCCGCCGGGACAAAGAATCTCATTTTGTGCTGCAGTTATCCAATTCGCGTGGCTTATAGAGTGTTGTCGGGATGGTATGTAGTCACGTATTCGGCGGTTAGTAGTTGAGCAGGGGATAGCCCAATGTTTTGAATGGGCGTATTCCTGTAAATCCTTATCCAATGATCCTTGGGCCCTGTGTTGCATTTACGACTCTTGGCATTCAAGCCATTGGATTGTGGGTAACCAGCAGATGATAACCTTTGTTTAACAGCCCAGTCTTGCAAAATTGCTTGAATGGAAGAGATGTGAAGGTGGCCCACCATCACTGCTGAGTTCAAATCGCCGTAGGTTTGAAATATGTCTCGGCAAATCGAAATAATCCTTGAGGCATTAGCTCTCCGTGGCTCAAGTGGTATAAGATTCAGCCAGCCCGTTAATCTGTCAGCGCATGCTAAGTAACCATGGTTTCCAATTATGGAAGATGTCCATGACGATTTACTGAAATGAATCAGGAGATGGTGTCAAATTGATTGGCTCTTTTTGGTTGACTCAGGGGCAACTTTTGAGCAGAACGTTTCTAAAACGAATTTTCATCCCGGGCCAATAAACAGATTCATTGGCACGTGCCTTCATTTTGATGTGCAGAATGTAGGCTTGTAATATTTTTTGCGTTGTGAAAACAATTATCTAAGAGCACTAACCCGTCGTCAACACTTTAGGCGGTGCCTCAATATCCAATATTCGCGGATTTCAGGTGCAGTGAGGATGCGCGTTCTTTGGAATCCGTTTTGTATTTCTTCTATAACGTCTGCTGAGATGAGCTCCAGGTTGTCATTTGCACCGAATGTTGCTAATAAGGTTTTTGATTTGACCCAATCATCCATGTTGTCAGACTCTATGATGTCTGATTGAGAAGGTTCAGCAATTGTCAGCTTCTCGTCCGCAAACCTTGTTGCATGAGTTTTGGCCGAGTCGGTGGAATGCCTGCTTCAATGAAAAGAGTTCCCAATTTTTAGGTGTCATAGATCCTGTTCGCAGCGCCATGTCGAACAATCACGTAAAGATAACCACTCAGTTGTGGAGCAAGCTGATTGAAGACTAATTCAACATAGAGACAGAGCTATTTAAATGGAGCATCTCATTATGCTAAAATTAGTCCATTGATTGGCTGCTGGTACCTGATAAATTACTATATAAATACTAGCATGATTTCTCAGTTTGCAGGATATGTATTAAGTTCAACCTGCTTTATTTTTGTCTGCCAGCTGGAAATTGGAATTTTACGCCGGTACGTGCTTTTTATTAAAACAGGTCAAGTTGCAGAAAAATTGTTGCGAATATTCTCTAGAGTTTCTGGAAAGAATTTATTCATTATATAGAATTTGATTCCGTAATTAGGTGGCACCGTGCCACTTAATTACGGAATCAATTACGGAGTAATGGATAACGGCTTGGATTGAGGAAGCGGAGAACTGAGTTCGAATTCCAGTCGAGTCTATTGAATTCACTTATCTCAGGAAAGGTACGAATTCTAAATAGACTGATTTACAATGGCAACTGGTTTACCGCATAAAGAAATGGCAAATGGGAAAATTCTTTTGTCAATCGAAAGATACATGATTCGTTCCCCAACTAACTGAATCACACCTAGCAATCTTTTTCAAAATATAACTCTCACTCCGCCTTCGTGTTTATTTTCTGGAAACATCTGATGACGTAGTAGAAATAAAAGTTTTAGTATTTTATTTCATTTAGTTAGTTTAGTTTGAAATTACCTACTGAGTAACAGAATTGCCAAGTTTTATTTTTACTGATGAATATCTGTACAAGAAATATTGTAAAGTAACACTTAAATTGCGATTAGCTCTAAAGATAAAAATTGCGATTGGTTGAAACAGTAAATATATTCTTAAAATGTGATTGGCTCAAAAGTTAAATAAGCATGAAAATTGCGATTGGCTCATACGATAAATCATTTTTAACATACGATTGTTTCAAAAGTTAATCGCATTAAAATTGTGATTGACTCAAAAGATAAGTCTACTCTTAAATTGTGGTTGACTAAAAAAGATAAAACAGTCTCTTAAATTATGACTGATTTACAATTGATTGTTAAATGGTTCTCAACGGGTTCGTTCCTTTTTCTGGGCAAATTAACTTCGGCCATCGATTAAAAGAACTAGTCAAGTAGTTTATTTGTTGTTTCGCCCCGCTTATTATACCTTCATATGCTCAATGAATGTGTAATTCACCAGGCCTTCTTTCTTCATAATGTACTCCCAAAAATTCAATTGTCTCTTTGGTTTTTCCTAATTGCTCTTGTTCTCTTTAAGATTTCTGCATTACTCGTAAGGTCTATAGTATTCAATTCACTTCTCTCTCTCTCTCTCTCTCTCTATATATATATATATATATATATATATGCGCGTGCGTGTGTGTGTGCAGGTATGTAGAAAAATAGGAAAGAACACGTTAGGTAAATAGTCCGGAGTTCTTTAGTATTTTTGTTTTTTTTTTTAAAAAAAAAAACAGTACTCCATACGGAAGTAGAGCGTAAATTTCGTTTTTGAAACATGAGACATCTTATGTAGCGAAGGAACCATATTTTTAAAAATAATTATATATATATATATATATATATATATATATATATATATATGTGTGTGTGTGTGTGTGTGTGTGTGTGTGTATAAAGGGAACATTGAAGTCAACTCTCAGAGGCGACAGGCTGTTTCATGCTAGACGCAATCGTCAGGTCGCGAATGTTGGTTTTATCCTCGGCTATTTATATATATGGATCAGTGGCGCATTATGGGTAATCTGTTCTGGCGGTTATTTTTGCGGGAGTGCCTTGTTTGTTTATTTATTCGGTTGGGTTAATTTATTTTCCTTGTTTTTCATTTTATTTTGTATTATTTATTCTTTTCGTTTCTTGATGTTTTATTAACGTCGTAACAAATTAGGTCACTTATTTAATAGTTTGTTTTTGGCCTGGGAAGATAATTAATTTGGGCGGGTTTTTAATTAATTATTTTATTTAGATTCATTATTTTTATTTGGTTTTGCTTATTTATGCTTACTTTTATTAGCTCCAACGGTTATTTTAGCTATGGCGATTTGTTAATTTCTTCATTTATGTAATTATCTGGATTTACTTTTATATTTGTTTATTATTTATTTCCTTATTTTTTATTTTGTATATTTCTATTTACTCTATTTGGATTTCTATTGAGTAACGTAGTAATTCTTTTTTATCGTTGTGTAGCAGTCATAGCTAATTTTATGTTCAATTTTTGGTTTGGTTGTTGTAGACTATTCTAACGGTTATTTTGGCGGGATTAGTTTGTTAATTTGTTTACTATTATTTCATTTGTTTATTTATTTGGGTTGATAATTTTTATTTGTTTTTTATGTATTTTATTTTTATTTTTATTTATTCTATTTCCTCTATTCTAATAGGAGTGGTTTGTTAATTTGTTTATTATTTGTTTGGATTATTTTATTTTTCTCGTTTTTTATATTATTTTGTTTATTTGTATTTATTCATTTCAGTTTTCGATTTTTAAGTAAAGTAGTAAAACATTGTTTTCATGTCTGCATTTTGAGATGAGCACAGATCGTTAATTTAATAATCTATTTTGGTCTGGGAAGGTAATAATAGCTATTTTTTCCTCCAAGCAAAGTTTGCAGATTTTTGATTGATTGTTGTAGGCTGATGATCTGTTCCTTATTTTCCATGATATTTTTGGTGTGATTTTTGTTTTGTTTTTAATTTCCCAGATATAATTTGAAAGCATTGTGCTGTTCAGGTATTTACTATTTGTGAAAGATGTTTTATGTGAATAGTTTCTTTGTTTCCATGGTCCTTCAGTTACTCCTATATATACTTTTTCTTTATTATCTGGAGCTTTTACCGTGTCTTGGTATATTACGTTGTTTTGTAACAAATTATCGTTTAAGGGACATTCATTCTTTATTCTACAGTTACATGTGGGTCTAATTTGTTGATAGTTTTCCTGTTGTGCATTTTGATTACTATTTGTGCCATGTTCTCGAAGCAACTGTAGCTGATTTTTACAGTGTTTTTCTTGAATATTTTGTATAGAGTGCTTGATTTAGGGAAGTGTTTGTTTAAGAGTTTGAAGAATATTGTTTTTACGTTTTTGCTGTACGGTGGGTTGAAAAATATGATATTTCTTTTCCTGTTGACTTTTCTTGTGCTCTTTGGTGTGTATGTGAGTGTTTCCGGGAATCCAGTATCTTTTAGGGCTGTTTCGTAGTCTTTCTTGGCTTCGTTAAATATGGTTTTATTGCAAGAATTGTCAGAAAGCCTGCAGTTAATGGATTTTGGCATCTGTTTGATTATCGGAGGATGTGTTTACATACGCTCTATCTCTGATATTGAGCACTTTAACCCATAAATATAGCACACCTTAAAACTATATATCTTCATATATATATATATATATATATATATATTTTTTTCAACCTTTATTTCCTTTTCTAAGCCTTTTTCCTTTTATTTCTCTCCTCTCTCTCGCTGTTATTAATCACTTAGCTTCCTTTCTTTCTCCACATGTAAATTCTTTTTTATCTTTTATGGGAAACTTTCCAATGACGGAAGTGGAAGATGTGCTTCGTTAACTGCATTTCGGAATAAAATATTTTAGTAGCATCGTGATTTCCCACCTGATGAAACGTTAAAGAAATTTTAACGTTGAAACAAGATGTACAGATTTATAGTGGGTATGTGCATGTTCTAATGTAATACTGCTTAAACACACACACACACACACACACACACACACACACACACACACACACACACACATATATATATATAGATGGCCACTCGTATTCAAGTATACCCGTCTACTAGGGTGGCTAGTCAATCCCTATTGCAGTCTCTCGCTCAGGCACATTTGTATTTGTTCAACACCCACATAGCTAAAACTATGCTGAGCAGATCTTAGTTAAAGTTTCTGGGAGAGAGCGTGTTATCTGGAATGAACAACAATCTGAAAAACACCAGCACACTCAAACCCTCGGTCACGATGACTTGTGACTTCGTGCTATCGACTGCCTCAAGTGTTAAGTCTAGACAAATTCAATTACAAGACTTGGTCGGTTTTCAGGCCCCAAAGGTGTGTTAATGCCTAGACTGATAATAAATTCAATTACAAATCGAAAAGATTCAATTGTCTTCATGGTCTATGGTATTCAATTCTCTTCGTCACCCACACCCACATGTGTATATATATATATATATATATATATATATATATAGATAGATAGATAGAGAGAGAGAGAGAGTGGAGATTCATAATAAAAACAATAAATAAATAAGTATATTAACTTAATACACTTCAATCAATAAATAAATTAATTAAATAAATAATAAACAAATTAAAACTATGAATGCACACATCTGTTTATATTTCTGAGATGAAGTATTATGTACACTATTTACATTATTCGGACTATTGTCCTCATCTTTGTCGCCATATTTATTACAACGTTTCGGCAGTTGTATGCCCCGGCCTTCTTCAGGTGGTTGGAATGTCGAACTGAACCCTTTATTTCGCTCGCAGGGGGAGACTAGTTCTAGTTCCACGTGCCATGTGTAATTCTTCTGTCTTCCTTATCTTTCTTTATTTTCTTTCTATCTTTCTATCTTCTTTTCGTTTCTATCTTTCTTGCGTTTTCTTTCTTTCTTTTTTTCTTTCTTTTTCTTTCTTTTTCGGCTTTCTTTCTTTCTTTCTTTCGTTCACTTGTCATCTTTTTCTGTCTTTTTGCTACACTTCATCCTTGCATTTCTTTAAATTGTGAGCACAAAGCGGATTTATTTTTAATACTGAATGAATGAAAGAAATTGAAATATAGAAAGAATAGTCTTACGTCGTATTTTCTTTCTTGCTTTCTTTCCTTTCTTCTTCTTTTTTTCATTCGTTCTTTTCTTTCACTACTCCCTTTCGCTTTGTTAACTTTGTCGCTGTCCCTCTTCATTTTACGCATAACGAACAGAATTATTGCTCCAGAGATAATATCGGATTATCACAGCAGAATTTGGATTTGAAGAAATACGAGCAACAATTCAGCAGTGAACGAATAAATAAAAATGATTGAAGATTAAAAATAAAAGTGAAAATTCAATCATTGGCATCAACATCAACATCATGATCGCCTCCAACATCATCATGACCACCACCATCTTCCCCCATCATCATCATCATCATCATCATCATCATCATCACCAATCACAACCACCATCATCATCACTACCATTATCATCGCCACCACCACCACCACCATTATCATCACTACCACAATCATCCGCATCACCATCACCATCACCACCATCATCATCGCCACCACATCACCCCTACTACCATCATCATGGCCACCACCATCTTCCCCCATCATCATCATCATCATCATCATCATCATCATCACCAATCACAACCACCATCATCATCACTACCATTATCATCGCCACCACCACCACCATTATCATCACTACCACAATCATCCGCATCACCATCACCATCACCACCATCATCATCGCCACCACATCACCCCTACTACCATCATCATGACCACCACCACCATCATCATCAACACCACCATCATCGACACGGCCACCATCACCATCATCCACACCAACATAATCACCGCCACGACCACCATCACCATCGCCAGCAGCTCATCACCACCATCATCATCGCCACCACCACCATGACTATCACCATCAACATCAGTACCACCACTACCACCACCACAACACTGATCATCATCATTATCATCAACAAAAACGACATCACCACCACCAACAACAATTAATAAGTTTCAGGTTTTCATCTTAAATGTAAATACGAACTTTAAGCGAAACTTTCATATAAAATGAAAAAAATGTCTTCACTTAAACCCATATCCTCCTGGTGTCATTTTAAACTGACACCTTATTTTATTCCCTGTATCTAAAAGATAATTTCGGAAAGTGACAGTTTTACCAAAATAATTTGGTAATTTGCGAAGTTCTCCTCTGAAATCAAGAAAATCTGAACATTAGCCAAATAGTTAAAAGAAAAAAAGAAAGAAAAAAGAATGTGGATTGATAAAAATTTGACAGAAGGAAAGAATGAAAGAAAAGACGAAAATGGATCCATAAGAATTTGAAAGAAAGAAAGAAAGAAAGAAAGAAAGAAAAGTCGAAAATTGGATCCATAAGAATTTGAAAGAAAGAAAGAAAGAATGAAAGAAAAGACAAAAATGGATCGATAAGAATTTGAAAGAAAGAAAGAAAGAAAAGTCGAAAATTGATCGATAAGATTTTCAAAGGAAGAAAGAAAGACGAAAATGGATCGATAAGAATTTGAAAGAAAGAAAGAAAGAAAGAAAGAAAGAAAAGTCAAAAATGGATCGATACGAATTTGAAAGAAAAAGAAAGAAAAGACGAAATTGGATCAACAAGAATTTGAAAGAAAAAAAGAACGAAAGAAAGAAGAATCGAAAATGGATCGATAAGAATTTGAAAGAAAGAAAGAAGGAAAAGTCGAAAATGGATCGTTAGGAATTTGAAAGAAAAAGAAAGAAAAGACGAAAATGGATCAACAAGAAGTTGAAAGAAAGAAAGAAAGAAAGAAGGAAAGAAAGAAAGAAGGAAAGAAAGAAAGAAAGAAAGAAAGAAGAGTCGAAAATGGATCGATAAGAAGTTGAAAGAAAGAAAGAAAGAAAAGTCAAAAATGGATCCATACGAATTTGAAAGAAAAAGCAAGAAAAGACGAAAATGGATAAACAAGAATTTGAAAGAAAGAAAGAAAGGAAGAAGAGTCGAAAATGGATCAATACGAATTTGAAAGAAAAAAAAAGAATTTGAAAGAAAGAAAAGACGAAAATAGATCGATAAGAATCTGAAAAAAAGAAAAAAGAAAGAAAGAAAAGACGAACATTGATCGAAAATGGACCGATAACAATTGGAAAAAAAAAAAAAAGAAAAAGAAAAGCCAAAAATGGATCGATAAGAATTTGAAAGAAAGAAAGAAAAGACGAAAATGGATCGATAAGCATTTGAAAGAAAGAAAGAAAGAAAATCGAAAATTGATTAATAATAATTTGACAGACAGAAAGAAAGACGAAAATGGATCGATGAGAATTTGAAAGAAAGAAAGAAAGAAAGAAAAGACGAAGATAGATAAGAAATTGAAAGAAAGAAAGTCGAAAAATGGATCGATAAGAATTTGAAAGAAAGAAAGAAAGAAAAGTCGAAAATGGATCGATAAAAATTTGAAAGAAAAAAAATAAAGAAAGAAAAGTCGAAAATGGATCGATAAGAAATTGAAAGAAAGAAAGGCAAAAATGGATCGATAAGAATTTGAAAGAAGGAAAAAAGAAAGGAAGAAAGAGAGGAAAATTAGATGAAGAAAAATGAAAAAAGAAAGACAGAGTGAAAGAGAAGGAAAAGAAAGAAACTCTTAATTCAAAAGTAAGCCAAAGATTAAAGGAAATAAAGAAAGAAGGAAGAGGAGGAGGAAAGAAGGAATACAGAAAAAGGCAACTGAAAAAGGAAACAAGCACTTGAAGAAATGCTACGAATATTATGAAATTTGTGTAAATGAATCAACGAAAGAATGAAGAAGAATGAAAGGAAGGCGAGCAGGTATTTTTGGTATAATTGTAGAGGAAGCGAAAAGAAAGAAACAAAAAGAAAGTGAGGAAGAAATAAATACACAGAGATTAATAGAAAGAGAGAAACTCTGAATTGAAACACAGAAAAAAGAAATTAGAAAGAAAATGTAAAAAGAAAAAGAAAGAAGAAAATATATGGAGAAATAAAAATAATAGTATAATATTAGAGCATGCGAAAGAAAGAAAGAAAGAAGTAATGACCGAAAGAAGGAAATAATGAAAGAAAGAAAGAAAGAAGTAATGGCCGAAAGAAGGAAATAATGAAAGAAAGAAAAAGAATAATGACCGAAAGAAGGAAAAAGAATGAAGGAAAGAAAGAAAGAAAGAAAAAAGAAAAAATGAAGGAAATGAAGTAATGAAAGAAGGAAATAATGAAGGAAAAAAAAGAAAGAAAAGAAGTAATGACCGAAAGAAGGAAAGAAAGAAAGAAAAGAAAGAAAAAGTAATGAACGAAAGAAGGAAAAATGAAGAAATGAAAAAGAAAAATAATGAAAGAAAGAAAAAAAAAAGAAAAGAAGTAATGACCGAAAGAAGGAAATAATGAAGGAAAGAAAGAAAGAAAGAAAGAAAAGAAGGAAATAATGAAAAGAAAGAAAAAAAACCGAAGGAAATAATGAAGGAAAGAAAGTAAAGAAAAGAAGTAATGACCAAAAGAAGGAAATAATGAAAGAAAAAAGAAAGAAAGAAGTAATGACCGAAAGAAGGAAATAATGAAGGAAAGAAAGAAAGAAAGAAAAGAAAAGAAGGAAATAAAGAGAGAAAGGAAATAATGAAGGAAAGAAAAGAAATGAAAGAAAGAAAAGAAAGAAGTAATGACCGAGAGAAGGAAATAATGAAAGAAAGAAAGAAAGAAAGAAAGAAAGAAGGAAATAATGAAGGAAAGAAAGAAAGAAAGAAGTAATGAGAAAGAAGGAAATAATGAAAGGAAAGAAAAGAAAAGAAAAATAAAAAAGAAAGAAATGACCGAAAAAAGGAAATAATGAAAAAAAAAGAAGAAAGAAGACCGAAAAGAAGGAAATAATGAAGAAAAGAAAGAAAAAGAAAGAAAGAAATAATGACCGAAAGAAGGAAATAATGAAAGAAAGAAAGAAAGAAGTGAAAAACTGAAAGAAAGGAAACTGAGAGAAGGAAATAATGAAGGAAAGAAAGAAAGAAAAGAAAGAAAGAAGTAATGACCGAAAGAAGGAAATAATGAAGGAAAGAAAGAAAGAAAGAAGTAATGACCGAAAGAAGGAAATAATGAAAGAAAGAAAGAAAGAAAGAAGTAATGACCGAAAGAAGGAAATAATGAAGGAAAGAAAGAAAGAAAGAAAGAAAAGAAGGACCGAAAAAGAAAGAATAAATAATGAAAGGAAAGAAAGAAAGTAAGAAAGAAGTAATGACCGAAAGAAGGAAATAATGAAAAAGAAAGAAAGAAAAAGAAAAAGTAAGAAGAAATAATGACCGAAAAAGGAAATAATGAAAGAAAGAAAAAGAATGAAGAAAGAAAGAAAGAAGTAATGACCGAAAAAAGAAAGAAATAATGAAGGAAAGAAAGAAAGAAAGAAATAATGACCGAAAGAAGGAAATAATGAACGAAAGAAAGAAAGAAAAAGTAATGACCGAAAAAAGGAAAGAAAGAAGAAAGAAAGAAAGAAAGAAAGAAAAGAAGAAATAATGAAGGGAAAAGAAGGAAATAATGAAAGGAAATAAAAAGAAAGAAAGAAAGAAGTAATGACCGAAAGAAGGAAAATGAATGAAAGAAAGAAAGAAGTAATGACCGAAAGAAGGAAATAATGAAGGAAAAAAGAAGAATGAAAAGAAAGAAAAAGAAAGTAATGACCGAAAGAAGGAAATAATGAAGAAAGAAAGAAAGAAAGAAGTAATCGCCGAAAGAAGGAAATAATGAAGGAAAGAAAGAAAGAAAGAATTAAAAAAGTTGTAAAGAAAGACGAAATGAAACATGCGGAGAATAAATGAACGAAATAATGAAAAATAACGAATATAAGGAAGAGGGAAAAAAGGAAACAAAAGAAAAAAGAAAGAAAGAAAGAAAGAAAGAAAGAAAGAAACGCACAGATAATATTAGAAAAAGATGAAATGAAGAAAAAGAAGGAAAGGAAGATAGAATGAAAGGAAAAGAAAGAAAGAGAGAAAGAAATATACAGACAACCGTATAAAGGTAAACGAAATTAAAAAAAAAGAAATAAAGGAAGAAAGAATAAAATGAAAGAAAGAAACGCTTAACTAAACAAAAGAGTAAATAATTAATAGAAAAGAAAGACAGAATGTAAGAAAGAAAGAACTAAAGAAGTAGGCTAAATACAAAGATCGTGTAAAAGTCGAAAACATGAAAAGTGAGAAAGAAAAAAAAAGAGTTGGACGAAGAAGAAGAAATAAATGAAAGAAAGAAATTTCTTTTCTTATTTTATCGTTCCTTTCCATTTTGTCATCTGTTTTTCTTTTTTCGGCCTTCATTTTAATTATTCACTTGTTTTCGGGCATGTTTCTTTTGTTTATATTCTCCAAAGAATTTGCCTTTGTTGAAACATCAATGAAGAATTTGTCTCAGCCAACAGCTGCCTCCGTTCAATCCAAAATGGAGCTACACACTCCTCAAAAATTTGTACATCTTCTTTGTCTTTCTTTCTTTCAATCTTCTTGCACTATTCGGCTTACTATTTCTTTTCTTTATATAATTTTTTCATTGGTATCCTCCCCCTAAAAAGCAGAAGAGAACAAGTGTCTGAGTCAGTGAGTCAGAGAGAGAGAGAGAGAGAGAGAGAGAGAGAGAGATAATAAAACGACGGCTATTCTTTGTTTTTCCTTTTCTCTCTATATATTTTTCTTTCGTTCTCTCTTTTGTTTTTTTTTTCAGGCGTTTCTCGCTGTCATTCATCTGTTTTGGTTCTTTTTTTGTTTTCATTCTCTTTTTTCTTTTTTTTTTCCTTTGTCTTTTCAGTCCTTCTTTTCCTTCTTTTTTTTTTTCCTTCGTCTGTCACTTCTTTCGCTTTTGCTTTTCTCTTCGTCTATATCTCCTCTTCGTCCCATTCTTTCTCGACATCGATCTCCTCCCCTATTTCTTTCTCTAGTTGTTTTCTTTATCTTTTTCATCTCTTTATTTTTCTTCATTTTTTCTTTTACTTCTCTTATTTACTCTTACCCAATGAGGATTCATAACAGAAGTATTATTCTTTTTCAATTTTCTTTTACACTTTTCTTTCGTCTTCCATTTTCTACTCGGCATCAATTTCCGCTTTCTTCTTCTTCTTCTTCTTCTTCTTCTTCTTCTTCTTCTTCTTCTTCCTCCTCCTCATCTTCTTCTTCTTCGCCTTTTCTCAATATTGATTGCTGCTACTGCATTTTTCTTTTACCACGTTATTCTTTCTTTTCCCTTCTTCGTCTATAATTTTTTGTCTATTTATCATTTCTCTATTTTTCTTCTTCTTTCCATTCTATTTTTTCTTCTTTTCGCCCGCCTTTCTTCACAAATTAATTCTTTTTCTTCTTTTCCTTCTTCACGTCATATTCGTTTTTGTTTTCCCAAACTTGATTTCTTCTCTTTTTTCTTTCTTTTCCTCTTTTTCCTTTCTCTTCATCTTTCATTTTACATTTTTTTATTTTTTCTTAACCATGATATCTTCTTCTTCTTCTTCTTCTCTCTTTTACTCCCCCACAACACGACAACCTCTTCGTTTCCCACTCCATTTTTATCTTAATCCCAAACACTCATCTTAAGAGCATTTAACCAACAGACTCAAAACAAGCGCGTCCAATCAAAAATGACCACAACAAAATCACAACCAATAAAATTTATACGAAATGAATTCTTAAAACTGGCCATTGGTCAAGAAACGAACAAAAAAACATTATTCTGGTCGACCAGACATAAACTGTAAATCAAATCCCCTAGCTTAAGAACTGATTTTTCTATATATATTTGGGGAATAGTCTGAAAGGTTCTAATTGACCAGACAGGTATTTCACGGTGAAAATAGTTTGAATTTACGATATTTCCTCCCTGACAAGGTAAGAGCCGCGCAGCAGGAGGTGAATACTAAATAATTCTGAAAAGAGAAGAAGCAGAAGCACTAAAATTAAAAAAATATATATAATACAACATTATCCCTGTGAGATATTAAAAAGAAACATTAATAAAAAGCTAGTATAGGGTGCTTTCACTTCCTATGAGATAGAAGTGCTTGGGGTACATAATAACCCGGTTCTGAATACGATGCAATTGCAAACAACCTTTGCTCATAAAAATCCACCAATATGTCAGCCATCGCAGGGCCTAAAGGGGTACCCATTGATATCCCGTAAATCTGCCTATAGATCATATTTTCGGAATTCGACAGTCACTTATATTCAAGAGAATCGAATTCTACAATCTTTAAATGTACGTTCCTTAAGAAATGATCTAATTTTAAGTCCTCTGTGCTGAGTGGGTTATTTCATTAAAGTTTAAAAACACCAAAACGTCCTCCATAAGCTCGATGAAAAACACTTTCAGTAATACGAGTAATATGACTTCCACACAGGACATCAGCACATAATTTCCAGAAGTGTTAAGTCACATTGGGCTCTGCGATCACAGAACACTTTATTAAAAATCGAGAGGATGAACCATACTTGCGTGAGTACTGCTCACAGTTTTGGGTGAATCATATTCAAACTATCGCTTAAAAGTCCTCCGAACAATGTATATTAAATCAAGACAATAATCCTTATAAAATCCAAAGATTCTTAGAACATACCGTGTTTATAGCTATGTAGCAGTGCAAAAAGATATAAGTGGATGAAACATGACTTTGATACAAGACATGAGCTCATATCTCTATTGTTTCCTGAAGTGGAACACAAGGTTTATTTTGGTTTGGTTTGTTTTACGACATATCAACTTCAATGGGTTAGTTAATGCCGAGAAGATTTTCATTGATGGTAATATTTTTTCAAAAATGTATTGCAGGTAATAATTGTTTTCTTAAAAAATGTATTGCTGGTAATAATGTATTACTTGTAATAATTATTTACAAAAATGTATTGCTGGTAATATTTCTTTCCATTAAAATGTATTGCTGGTAATATTATATTGCTGGTAATAATTATTTACAAAAATGTATTGCTGGCAATATTTTTCCTTCAAAAATGCATTTTTGGTTCAAAATTTTTTCCTTCAAAAATATATTGCTGGTATTGAAACCTAATTTTACACTTTCATAGTATTTTGACCCCAGTTTGGAGATTAACTATTTGCCCATAGCTGGAACCCTAACTGGTGCTACCACCCTGGGTTAGGGTGGACCTGGGAACACCAGCAATTAAGAGGTAGTTCCACGGTTCTCAAAATCTCCTGATCAGAGGCCTTGCTGTTGGACGTAGTTTAACGTCTTACCCAGCACGCGAATGTAGTTTATCGTCATACCTAGGATGATGGAACGCAAGGAAAAAGACTATTGATGAAAGTTAGCTCAGAGTGGAGTAAATACAGGATGGTCCAAGACTGGGCTCGCCGTTTATTTAGTATGTTTTTCACAACCAGTGTTAACTTCATTGGACTGTACTTTCAGCAAGATAGAGAACCTTCCCATTCATTATCAGTAAGGGACTACCTGTACCAAACCTTTCCACAGCGTTGGTTAGGAAAAAGGAACAACATCGAATTGCCATCACGTTCACCTGGACTTTTTAAAAGCATTTCGCCCCAACAAGGCGGGAGTGTCACTAACACGCAAGCGGTTACAAAGAGTAAGAGCAGGAGTAAAGACGGTCGCTTGAGGTAAGGATATAGAAAAGGACGGGGATCCTGATGAAGCCATTATAAGATGTCGATTGATATTACATTTGAATATTTGAAGATTATAGCTATCAGGGAAGCAAGTAAGAGGAAGGGAGCTCCACTGTCGGGAAGTGCAAGAGAAGAAGCTGTTGGAATTGAAGAGGCGGTTACATTGAACTGTTTCAACAGTGAAAGGGTGGGACCAAGATGCCAACCTAGTAGCACGCATAAATTCATGCAGTTGGGGTACCATTAAAACTAGCTCGTCAGAGCAGTTGCCATGAAAATATTTGTAGAAAAGACAGAGGGAGGCCACAACACGTCTGTGAGAAAGTGACTGTAGACGAGATGCCAGATCAGGACCTAACATCAATGGATCTCTTTTTTTTGGCGGCTGTAGTAAAGAAAATGGTTTATGAAAGAAATCCCCACACAGTGAACGGTGTAAAAGATTACATCTCGGAAGAATTTATTGAAATTGACGCAAATTGGGATTTGTGTCGTGCTGTGTAGCATAGAGTTTTGGAGAGGTTCGAGGAATATTGCCTTGTTGAAGGAGGACATTTTAAGCAAGATTAAAATTGGGCTAAAACTGTAAGTAAAGCGATAAACAAATGTATATAAACAGTTTTGAACAAATATGATTGTAACAAAGAAATATAAATGTAATATGTTTTAAAAAAAATAAAGCGCATACCTACTAAGTGTAAGCCTACTTTTGACCCACACTGTAATTTGCAAGGTGATCAGGCAGAATACGATTAATAGGTTCGATTCTCATTGCAGACATTTTCTTGATTCATCTGTATATATTTTCCTTTGTGTGTGTGTATATATATATATATATATATATATATATATATATATATATATATATATATATATATATATATATATATATAGTGTATATCAGATTATTATATAAACATATATTGTTAAATATAACAGACAATGAATATTTTTTTTATTTTTAGATCAAGGGCCAGCTTAATAAAAATGTGCAAATGTTGGACAATTTTTGCCTTTATTTTCACCCGAAATTAAAGCAACCATGCAAAGTATAGAACGGCTCATGATCAAACATAAGAGACATTCATTGTCTGTTATATTTAACAATATATATATATATATATATATATATATATATATATATATATATATATATATATATATATGAAGACTCTTCCGTAAATCAAGTCGAGTTCTCTCAGTCACTGTGTGTTTATCTAAAAATAAATACGCTTAAATTCACCTTCATCCCTGCCGTGCGCCAACGCCTTGTTGGTAGAATCCTTGACTGACACCAATTTCAGTTGGGTTTCGATCCTAGCCAGAGGCAACCGGACGTCTAGCATCACTGACGAGCTATGATACGGCGAAATAGTCTGTCTAGGGATGACTAAGTATATGTATGTAAACAGAAAGAGAGAAATTTAATAGATAATAATAACACACGTGTTATTATAACAACAAACTTGCTATCATCTAGCGTCAGTTTAAAAAATGTGCTTTATATATATATATATATATATATATATAGTGTATATCAGATTGTTAAATATAACAAATAATGCATATTCTTTCTATTTTTAGATCACGGACCATTTGGACAATTTTTGTTTTATTTTCACCCAAATTAAACGTTGAGAACGGCTCATGAACAAACATAATAGACATTCATTGTCTGTTATATTTAACAATATATATATATATATATATATATATATATATATATATATATATAAAGAAGGAGAGAGAGTGAAAGAGAGAGATCTAATAGATAATAACAACACACGTGTTATAACAACAAACTTGCCATCACCTAGCGTCAGTTTAAAAATGAGCTAATATATATATATATATATATATATATATATATATATATATATGTATATGTGTGTGTGTGTGTGTGTGAGGTGTTTATTCAGAAACCTTCAAACGGGAAATCGTTCGATCGAAGCAAATATCAATTTTACTGCACGATACAGCCGGCTATTCTTTACTTGTAATTTGTATTTTTAATTTGTTATTTTTTCCCTAAAGAAATATACTGAAGCTTATTAACACATTAATTAATGAGAGATAATGAGATTGTGTTTTAATTGGCATCAGTTAATTCACCGCTTCTAGAACGTGAACATCGAGTTAACTTCATTAGCGACGCGGTGCGGGCCAATTCACACTGTCTAATTACAATACGTAGATGCAGGAAAGCAACAAGACTTTCTTGAAATCGTAGTTTGCCAATGTTGATCTGTCTCTCTATCTATCTACTGGGCAGTACTTGTTTTCTTTTTTAACAACTTTACTAAACTTTACTCAACGAAAGACTACGCTGTTGCCCAGCTTATTTTTTCTGTTTCTTTCTTTTTTTTTTTTTTTATATGGACGCCTTAGGCTCCAATCAGTCATAAGATTCATGTATCGCTCTACCATTGGTTGAGCGGGTGAATATTACTTTCTCATCACATCATTCTTCCTTTCTTTTTTATTTCCCATAGGGGGGAACGGATGGCCAAGTGTTTGAAAGCAACGTTTAAATCGAACGGATCTTGAGTTCAATCTCTGGGTCGGAAGAGAACGCCAAGATATCTATCTATCTATCTCTAACTGTTCATCTCTCTCTCTCTTACCATCTATCTATCTATCTATCTATCTATCTATCTATCTATCTATCTCTAACTGTTCATCTATCTCTCTCTCTCTCTTACCATCTATCTATCTATCTATCTATCTATCTATCTATCTATCTATCTCTAACTGTTCATCTATCTCTCTCTCTCTCTTACCATCTATCTATCTATCTATCTATCTATCTATCTATCTATCTATCTATCTATCTATGTCCATTTCATAATGCGTAACGTAATTTATTTACAGTTGGATACGCATCGAGCAGATATGAATGTACATGAGAGAATCATGGAAAATTGTAATTTA